CTCTACCCAGGGGGACAGCTTGAGGCTCTGTCTCAAAAAAAAAAAAAAAAAAAAAAGAATTCAAAAAATGGTGCTACTGCAGGCACAATTTTTCTAGAATCTTTATGACTTTTGGTTTTTGTTTAATCAGTTTCATTGAGGTAAAATTTATTTTTTAATTTTTATTTATTTATTTGAGACAGAGTTTCACTTTGTCACCCTTGCTAGAGTGCGGTGGAGTCGTAGCTCACAGCAACCTCAAACTTTTGGGCTCAACTGATTCTCTTACCTCAGCCTCCTGCGTTGCTGGGACTACAGGTGCCTGCCACAATGCCTGGCAATTTTTAGAGATGGGGTCTCACTCTGGTTCAGGCTGGTCTTAAACCTATAAGCTCAGGCAATCCACTCGCGTTGGCCTCCCAGAGTACTAGGATTATAGGTGTAAGGCACCACGCCCAGCCTCAGAGGTAAAATTTACATGCAACAAAATTTATCAATTTTAAATGGGCCGTTTGATGAGTTTTGACAGAAATATGTAGTTATGTAATTATTACCACAGTCATGACATAGAACACTTCCATCAACTCAAAAACATCTCTCATGCCCTTTTGCAATTACTCCCTGCCCCTGACCTCTGCTGTCCACCAATCTGTTTCCTGTTCACAATAGTTGTGCCTTCTCCAGAATTTTGTGTAAATAGAATCATGTACCCCCTATGACCTGAAAAGATAAGAGTCAGACCCCCACTTACATGTAATTAATTGGTAATTTATTTTACTTGCCGCAGGGGTAGCCCTGAAGTAGGAGGTAAGTTGCTTTTTATAATTTTGAGCAAGCATACTGGTACAGAAGCAAAATGTGGCTGGTTAGCTTAGGGCAGGGGGGTTATAACTTGGTTGACAGTGGATACATCTTAAATCACAATGGTTATAGTTATGTAACTGATTGATACAACTTAGGTTTTCCACCATTGTTTACTCACTGGGAACTTGGGGGTTTTTTGTGTTTCCTTGTTTTGAAGTCTGTTCTTGGCAACCCTGAGGGGAAGGAGGAGCCTGGGAACGGGCTGGGGAGCCTGTTCTTGGCTACCCTGGGGGGAGGAGGGACTTGCCTTGTTCCTAAAGTTGACTTTGGGGGGAGGGAGGTGGAGGGAAATGGGCTGGGAAGCCTGTTCTCCACCACCCTGGGGGAGGGGGAGGCTGGGAATGGCCTATGACAATATGTAATCTTTAACGTAAGTCTTCTTGTACTTAACATAATGCTTTTGGGATTCATTCATTTTGCATATATTAGTATATACATATATATTTATTTTTTTATTTTTTTAATCAACTCTACCTTTTTTTGAGCCTAAAGCCGTCCCCCTGGGTAGAGTGCTGTTGTATCACAGCTCACAGCAACCTCCAACTCCTTGGACTGGCTCAAGTGAGTCTCCTGCCTCAGGCTTTCAAGTAGCTGGGACCACAGGTGCCCACCACAACGGCCGGATATTTTTTTGGTTGCAGCTGTCATTGTTGTTTGGTGGGCCCGGGCTGGATTCGAACCTGCCACCTTAGGTGTATGTGGCTGGTGCCTTAGCCACTTGAGCCATAGGCGCTGAGCCCCTATTTTGTTTTTTAATGTGTAACTGTTTTTTTTTTTCCTTAGAGACAGATGCTCACTCTGTCACTCTCAGTAGAGTGCTGTAGCATCACATCTCACAGCAACCTCTAGCTCTTGGGCTTAGGCGATTCTCTTGCCTCAGCCTCCCAAGTAGCTGGAACTACAGAAATTTTTTGTTGCAGTTTGGCTGGGGCTGAGTTCAAACCCACCACCCTCGGTATATGAGGCTGGCACCCTATTCACTGAGCCACAGGCGCCACCCTATGTAACTAACTATTCTAATGGGTATGTAGTGTCATCTCATTGTTTAACATACATTTCCCTAATGTTAATGATGTTGAGTATCTTTTCATATGGGTTTTTGTTATTTGCATGTCTTTTTTTGGTGTGGAATCTGTTAAATCTTTTGCCAGTTGTTACTGGCTTGTATTCTTATTACATTATAAAAATTCTTTGTATATTCTAGATACAAGTTCTTTGTTTAGATACATGTTTTGCAAATATTTTTTCTCAATCTGTGGCTTGCTTCTTCATTTTCCTTTTTTTTTCAGACAATCTCACTCTGTTGCCCTAGTTAGAGTGCCATGGCATCACAGCTCACAGCAATCACAAACTCTTGGGCTCAAGCAATCCTCTTGCCTTACGCTCCTGAGTAGCTGGGACTATAGGTGCCCACCATAACACCCATCTAGTTGTTTTTTGTTTTCTCTATTTTTAGTAGAGATAGGGTCCTATTCTTGCTCAGGCTATTCTCCAACTCCTGAACTCAAGCAATCCACCCATCTCTCAAAGTGCTAAGATTACAGGTGGGAGCCACTACACCTGGCTTGTTTTTTCATTTTCTTAACAGTGTTTTTTGAAGACTTAAAGTTTTTAGTTTTGGTGAAATCCATCTTATCATCTTTCATAGTTCCTGTTTTTGTGTGTGTGTCCTAAGAAATATTTCCTAGACTAATATCATGAAAATTTACCTCTTTTATTTTTATTTTATTTTATTTTTTTGAATTTTGCTTTCAATTGGCTTTCACTCATTTTAGTTTGAAGGTTTTTTAACATTTTTTTTTCTTTTCTTCCATTAGTGATTCTCTTGCCCTTAGCCTCCCAACTAGCTGGGACTACAGGCACCCTCCACAATGCCCAGCTTTTTTTGGTAGAGACAGGGTCTCACTCTGGCTCACTCCAGCTCAGGATGGTCTTGAACCTCTGAGCTCAGGCAATCCACCCACCTCGGCCTCCCACAGCTCTAGGACTACAGGCGTGAGCCACCAGGCCTGGCCACCTTTTTCATTTTTAAATGGATTGAAAGAATCTAGGGGTTGGGTACTAATAAAAATATTTCACAAAAATGTTTATAAAGAATGGTGCCTGTGGCTCAGTGAGTAGGGTGCCCGCCCCATACACCAAGGATGTGCCCAGCCAAACTGCAACAGAAAAATAGCCAGGCATTGTGGCAGGAGGCTGTAGTCCCAGCTTTTCAAGAGGCTGAGGCAAGAGAATCGCCTAAGCACAGGAGTTGGAGGTTGCTGTGAGGTGTGACACCATGGCACTCTAACCAGGGCGATAAAGTGAGACTCTGGTTCTATTAAAAAAAAAAAAAAGAAAGAAAGAAAGAAAGAAAATGTTTATAAAAGAGAGACAGTGCAAGTGAATCTGGTAAAATCTTGAGTCATAAGTTTAAGTAATAGATCAATTGTAACAAAAATATGGGATTCAAGAGAGAGAGGTTTTTCTAGTATTCACTTACATTTCTTTTGAATCTATTTAACTTAAAAATTATTTAAGGTAGAATTTGAGAAAAAACTGTAACCTATAACATGAAAACTAACCAATTTATTCTTAAAGATATTACCAATTTAAAGATTGGATCCTATAAAATGATATTTTCTTTCTTTATGGATGTTCATATTTGGAATGAATATACTAGAGTTTTAATGAAAATCCTTTATAGTCATGGTCAAAATTCATCTCATAAAGTATTATAATTCCACCCTGAGTTCAGATTACCTGAGATCAATGTTAAGGAAGAGAAATTAATATTAAAAGTTAAATTGCAGACTATTTTCACAAACTTTGTAATATTTAACTTTGTGCTTTCATAAGTAGAAATTGTAAAGACTCCATAATGAGGAATATGAGGAACTTAATTTCATTATTTTACATTGTCATGTAGTTAAAGTTTCCTTTGGAAAAAATATTCCTGTAATTCAGGTTATTGTAGCACCATCAGTTGTATATGGAATCTAAAGTAATAATTTGTGATCCAGAAAACTTAAATTTTTTTCTTTTTCTTTTTTTAAGCAATGTGTCTCACTGTGTCATTCAGGCTGGAGTGCAGTGGTATGATCATCTCACAGCAGCCTCAAACTTCTGAGCTCAAGGGATCCTACTGCCCCAGCCTTCTAAGTAGCTGGGTCTACATGCCTGAGCAACTCTGCTGGCTAAGTTTAAATTCTTCAAATTCTCATTTTAAAGTAATTTATGTTTCAGGAACTCAAGATTTTTTAGATAAGATTACTTTAAACTGAATTCATGAATCAGTTTTATGTATTCCTACACATTAAATAAAATACTAAAAACTTCATGTAATAGATTATCAATACTATTTTATATAGTTTAATTTTTTACATTTTTACATTGCTTACTGACTTAATTCTTTTTGGAACTCATAAAAAGTAATATATTCCTTTCCTCACTCTTATGTTTCATGCATACCTGGCTATTTTTAAGAATTAATTAACTGATTATCTGTCTTTTCCTAAAAGCATAATATACACTCTACTAATATAGCTAGCATATTTGACAATCATTTATATTGTGATGGTTTTCCATTTCATGTCCCTGCCTCCTAGACCTGGAACCACTACCTCAAGCTTGCCTTCATCATTATTGTTCTCCTTTTTATACATATAATTATGTTGTATTATATATACATGTAATTTGTATATATGTTATCTTAATTTTATTATCTTGGTTAAATTTTTTTTTTTTTTTTTTTTTTGAGACAGAGCCTCAAGCTGTCCCCTTGGGTAGAGTGTGGTGGCATCACAGCTCACAGCAACCTCCAACTCCTGGGCTCAAGCAAGTCTCCTGCTTCCGCCTCCCAAGTAGCTGGGACCATAGTAGTCCCAGCCACAACACCCAGCTATTTTTTGGTTGCAGCTGTCATTGTTGTTTGGCAGGCCCAGGCTGGATTCGAACCTGCCAGCTCAGGTGTTTGTGGCTGGGGCCTTAGCCACTTGAGCCACAGGCGCCAAGCCATTCTCTTGCCTCAGCCTCCCAAGTAGCTGGGACTAAAGGCACCCACCACAATGTCCCACTATTTTTTGTTGCAGTTGTCACTGTTTAGCTGGCCTGGGCCGGTTTTGAACCCATCAGCCTCAGTGTATGTGGCTGGCACTGTAACTATGGTGCTACGGGAGCCAAACCGGTTAAATTTAATTTTTAAGAATGTGTTTCATGGTATATAATATCGTAAGGAACTTATTTTTTCCTTTTAACATTGATTGCCAATATCTGCCCATATTATTGTTCCTTTTAGTCCATTCATTTTCACTATTCTACATTAGTCTTCAATGTGATTATCTAAAAATTCATTTGTCTATTTTTTTCACTTTATCCTTTTCTACTTTATTACTTCAAATTAACAACCATGATAAAGCTCCAAAAAGTCCAATATTTACACAGGAAAAAAGTACAAAATTATCCCCAAAGTTCTTCAGTATTGTTTTTTGAGTTTTTTATAAATAAAAAGCTTTGTTCTGTAATTAAAAAAAAAAAAGGAAAAAGGAGACAGAGGTAAATAAATTAGGAAACACACACAGAGAAAACAAAAATTAAAACAAACAAACAACAACAACAACAAAAACCCAGGAGTTAAGTAGGAAGGATGGGGAAATTCAACACTTGGTCCTAATCCAGGCTCCTCTTCAAAAGGTAAAACCCCAGGAGAGGGGAGACCCCAGGTGACTATAAGAACTAGGGGAGTAATTTTAACCCAGTCAGATGTTTTTAGAAGTAGTCTTCGCAGCTTCTGCCCTAAAACCAAGAATGGATGGCAGGGCTGCCACAGGCTGATGACAGTCTGGGGGTGATGAGGACCCTCTGTGGCCTGGGGGATGCCTACTCCGTGTCCTTGTTAGGAGACACGGGAAAAAGGAATCGCCTTGGGAGGCGGGGATGCAGCACCTGCTGCCCTGGGGAACACAGGTCAAATACAGCCACAAGCACATAAAGTATCTTGGCCTCCACCACTTCCCCACCCACTCAAGGTCTCCAAGGAGAAGCAAAGGAGGACCCGAATGCCCAGGAGCCATTGGGAAAATCCCAACACAGAAAGCCAGGCACTCTCATCTCGGAAAAGGTCTCATGAAACCAGTGGGACCTGCTTTTGAGTGACCACACTACATCCTGACGTGAGTTCCTCCAGCCTCCTCTGATGGTGTGTGAGGACTGGCTGCAGCATTGAGGCATTTCTTTTCCAGCAGGTGTGAGCAGTGGTGGAACAGGTAGGGCTGGGGACCCGGCGGCTGCCTCCTGTGGCCCAGGATTGTGGAGATGGGCTGGGTAGTCTGTGATGCCAAGGGAGCCAGGATCGTCAGTGCTAAGGGGAATCCCATCGGCAAAAAAAAAAAAAAAAAAAAGTCCAAAAAAATCCATCCTCCGTTTCGTGCTGGGTTTTTTCTTTTGAGAGTTTTCTTTCCATCTTTTGTTGTTGTTTTTTAAAAGAAAATACAGTGCAGACCCCAAGCAAAGCAAACACTAGTCCGATGGTGGCGCTCCTTGCTTCCAGAGACAGTCAAAAGGCACGCTTGTCCGTGGGGCTGGGATCTGGGAGACCTCCCAGTGAGGTCTGAGGAGGAGACCTTTGAGGGCAAGGTACGCTTGTCTGTGGGGCTGGGATCTGAGAGACCTCTTGCCCCCCAGTGAGGTCTGAGGACGAAACCTTGGCAGGCGCGCCCTTGTGCAGCTTCACACTCACCTTCCTCTCCCGGTCTACCCCGGAGATCGCTCTGGGAGACATATTGCCATCTTGCTGGAAGGGGGGGGGGAGCTGTGGTGGAGGCCACAGGTTAGGCTGCACTGCGGAGCTGGTTGGTGGTGGCCCCTGTGGGGGTCGGGGGCAGGGCCTGGGTCATGGACCCCCGCAGCTGCCCCATTCTCTCCTTATACTTGTGTTCTCACCGCTCGCAGTCCACGTCCTCGGGGTTCCAAGATGCACCCTAGTTGGTCCTGGGGTGTCCACAGAGAAGGGCGGAGGCTAGCAGGAGAGGCCGCACGAATTTGATCTTGTTCCAGTCGAAGACAGAGTCGTAGGCGAAGCCTTGTCGCAGGAAGAGCCTGCGGAAGAGCTGGCGCAGGGCGAAGCAGCCGGGCTTGTGGAACCGCAGGGAGCAGCAGAAGTTGAAGTACATGGAGAGCTGGGAGGGGCAGTGTTTGCAGAGGACCTCGGTGAGCGAGGTCTAGCAGATTCTCTCGTGCTTCCGGCGCTTGGTGGCTGCTTTGAGGCCCTGCCAAGCAGCCCAGGCTCGCCAGGTCATCTCCGCGATTTTGCTCGAGGGGTGTTGACGGAGGCGTAGCTGGCAGTGCCCGTCGGGTTCTTGTTTTCCCAGTAGGAGGTGTGCTGGTGGGTGCGGGCGTTCTGCACTTCTTAGCCAGGCCAAAGTCCATGATGTAGACCACGTTGACCTTCTTCCCTAGCCCCAGGAGGAAGCTGTCGGCCTTGACATCTCGGTGCACGAAGGAAGTTCTTGGAGTGGATGTGTTCAATACGGCTGATCATCTGGTCAGCCAGGCGCAACCAGTCTTGAGGCTGAATTTTCGGGAACAGAAGTCGAAAAGGTCCTCGAGGCTGGGCCCCAGCAGTTCCATGACCATCACGTTGTAGTCCGCCACCGCTCCACACCTCCCCCCTGCATCGTCTTGTAGAACTCGCTCTAGATGTGCAGCTTGGGGGTGCTTTGTATTCACACACTGGAGCTTGATGGCGACTTCTTCACCAGAGCCGAGGTTGGCACCCAGGTACATGTGTCGGAAGGACCCGCTCCCGGTCTTCCGTCCCCGGCGGTACTTACTCCCCACATGTTCCATGATTCGTTCTAGCGCGCTGGGAAGGCGCCGGTGCGGGGCAGCTGCTCCCGGGGGCCCCGGGCGGACGCTGGAGGATTCGCTGGACCGCCCGCCGCGCCAGCCTCTCCCGGCCCAGCCGCCGCCGCCCCTGCCGCGATCGGCTCAGACTCTGGGCTCTTGCCTCCTGTGTTACCGCTGCTTCTCTCTTCTTGGACTACTGCCCGCTCGACCCCCTATTTATCCACTTTTTGAGACTCCAAACATTTCTCTCTCTTTTTTTTTAGAGACAGAGTCTCACTTTATCGCCCTTGGTAGAGTGCTATGGCATCACAGCTCACAGCAACCTCCAACTCCTGGACTTGGGTGATTGTCTTGCCTCAGCCTCCGGAGTAGCTGGAACTACAGGCGCCCGCCACAACACCCAACTATTTTTAGAGACGGGGGTGGGGTGTGAGGGTCTCACTCTGGCTCAGGCTAGTCTTGAACCTGTGAACTCAGGCAATCCACTCACCTTGACCTCTCAGAATGCTAGGATTACAGGTGTGAGCCGCTGTGACCATCCTGACTTCAAATTTATCTCTGTTATTACGTAGATTGTTTCCTCTATACCCTGTTGTAGGCAACCACTACCTTATAACACTTTCTTTTTAATTCTTTATTTTACATCTCATATAAATGGTGTCATACAGTATGTGGTCTTTTGTGCCTGTTTCCTCTCAATTGGCATGTTTTCAAGGTTCATTCATGTATAGCATGTGTCCACACTTTGTGCTTTTTATGGCTAAATAATATCGCACTGTATGAGTATGCCTTATTTATCTATTTCTCAGTTGTTGGACATTTAGGTTATTTTCACTTTGGAGATGTTATTAATAATGATAATGTGGGCCAGGCAGAGTGGTTCACACCTGTAATCCTAGCACTCTGGGAGGCCCAGGTGGGTGGATTGCTTGCGCTCAGAAGTTAGAGACCAGCCTGAGCCAACGGTGAGACCCTCTCTCTATTAAAAACAGAAAAATTAGCCAGGCATTGTGGTAGGGTGTCTGTAGTCCCACCTAGGTGGGAGACTGAGGCACTAAGATCTCTTGAGCCCAAGAGTTTGAGGTTGTTGTGAACCATGATGCCAAGGCACTCTTCCCAGGCAATGGAGTGACACTGTGTCTCAAAAAAGAAAAAAATGATGATGTGAATAATCATGTATACACAGGTTTTCATATAGATATATTTTTTCATATCTCTTGAGTATGTTTGTTGAGTGTTTTTTCATTTTTATTTTTTTGAGACAGAGTTTCCCTATGTCGCCCTTGATCGAATGCCATGGCATCACAGCTCTCAGCAACATCAAACTCTTGGGCTTAAGGGATTCTCTTGTCTCAACCTCCCAAGTAGCTAGGATTACAGGCACCCACCACAAGGCCCAGCTACTTTTTGTTGTTGTTGTTGCAGTTGTCATTGTTGTTTAGCTGGCCAGGTCTGGGTCGAACCCACCAGCCTCGGTGTATGTGGCTAGCCCCCTACTCACTGAGTTACAGGCACCACCTATTTTTATTGTTTTTAAAGCAAGCATGGAACAAAGTTTATTGAGGAAGAGAAAAGTAGTTTTACAGAGTAATAGCAAGATATGTTAACCACAGACACTGCACATTGCCAGGGCAAATAGACAAAGAGGCTACATAGAGTGTTTTTATCATGAAGAGGTATAGGATTTTGTCAAGTGCTTTTGTGGTATCTATTAAGATGATCATTAAGGGCTTGGCGCCCGTGGCTGAAGCGGCTAAGGTGCCAGCCACATACACCTAAGGTGGCGGGTTCGAATCCCCAGCCCAGGCCCGCCAAACAACAATGATGGCTGCAACCAAAAAAATGGCCGGTCGTTGTGGTGGGTGCCTGTAGTCCCAGCTACTTGGGAGGCTGAGGCAGGAGACTCGCTTGAGCCCAGGAGTTGGAGGTTGCTGTGAGCGTGATGCCATGGCACTCTACCCAGGGGGACAGCTTGAGGCTCTGTCTCAAAAAAAAAAAAAAAAGATGATCATTAAGTTTTTGTCCTTTATTACATTGATACAGCATATTGTATTAATTGTTTTGGGGATGTTAATCCAACCTTGTATTCCTAAGACAAATCTCACTTGGTCAAGGTGTATAAATCTTTTATATATTGCTTGATTTGTTTTAGGAATATTTTGTTGAGGATTTTTGCATCTATATTCATAAAGGTTATTGGTTTGTAGAATTCTTTTTTTTAGACATTGTCTCACTCTGTTACTCTGGGTACAGTGCTGTGGAGGCATCATAGCTCACAGCAACCTCAAACTCTTCTGTTCAAATGATCCTTCTGCCTCAGCCACCCAAGATGCTGGGACTATAGGTGCCGGATGCAACACCTAGATGGTTTTCTATTTTTAGTAGAGACTAGGCCACACTCTTGCTCAGGCTGGTCTTGAACTCCTGAGCTCAAGTGATCCATCCACCTCTGTCTCACAGAGTGGTAGGATAACAGAATTGAGCCACTGCACCTTGCGGGTTTGCAGAATTCTTAACTTGTGATGTCTTTTTCTGGCATGGTGCAGGCTAATATTGTAGATAGCATGTAGTTGGAGGTCTTTTAAAAAATATAGAATCTGACAATCTCTAAGTTTTGATTAGACTATTTAATCAAACATTTAATATCATTAATATTATTGGATTTATTTCTGCCATTGTACTTTTTGCTTTCTATATTTCTTATTTCTTTTTTGTTGTTGTTCCTATATTTCTTCCTTACCTCTTTTATGGTTGTTGAGTATTTTCTAGCATAACATTTTAATTCCTAAATGATTTTTTCACCTCATTATTGGCTTGGTGACTGCTCTAGAGCTTACCATATACATCTTACATTACTGGAATCTACCTAAAATTTATTCCAGTGAGATGTAGATATGTCACTCCTATATAGCTCTATTCCCTCTTCACCTGTTCATACTACATCACATACAAGCTACATTTATATGTGCTACAGCTCAACAATATATTGTTTTAGCTATTTATATAATTTCATGTCTATTAAATAATCTGAGAAAAGACAGGAGAACATTTATATATTTATAGAGTATGTTATGTTAACCTTCTTTTTGACCATTTCTGGTTCTCCTTATTTGTTTCTGTATATTCAAATTACCATCCCTCTTTTTGCCAAAGTATTTAAAAGTAAATATAAGAAATTATTTTAACTACAAATATTTCAGTATGCATTTGTGAGACTTAAAAACACAAGTCCAGGTGCCAGGCGAGGTGGCTCACACCTGTAATCCTACCACTCTCAGAGGCCAAGGTAGGTGGATTGTCTGAGCTCATGGGTTCAAGACCAGTCTGGGCCAGAGCAAGACCTCATCTCTAAAAATAGCCAGGTGCTATGGAAGGCGCCTGTAGTCCCAGCTACTTTGGAGGCTGAGGCAAGAGAATCGCTTAAACCCAAGAGTTTGAGGTTGCTGGCTTGACGCCTGTGGCTCAATCGGCTAAAGTGCCAGCCACATACACCTAAGGTGGCGGGTTCGAATCCCCAGCCCGGGCCCGCCAAACAACAATGATGGCTGCAACCAAAAAATGGCCGGGTGTTGTGGCAGGCACCTGTAGTCCCAGCTACTTGGGAGGCTGAGGCAGGAGACTCGCTTGAGCCCAGGAGTTGGAGGTTGCTGTGAGCTGTGAGGCCATGGCACTCTACCCAGGGGGATAGCTTGAGGCTCCGTCTCAAAAAAAAAAAAGAGTTTGAGGTTGCTGTCAGCTGTGGCAACACAGTAGTCTACTGAGGGTGACAAAGTGAGACTCTGTCTCAAAAAAATAATAATAAAATAAAAACAAAAGTCCACCATTGCTATCACAAAATTAATACTTTCTTGGCTCAGTGCCTGTAGCTCAGCAGCTAGGGCACTAGCCACATACACTGGAGCAGGTAGGTTTGAATCTAGCCTGGTCCTGCCAAACAACAAGGACAACTACAACAAAAAAAGTAGATGAGTGTTGTGACAGGTGCCTGTAGTCCCAGCTGCTTGGGAAGCTGAGGCAAGAGAATCACTTAAGCCCAAGGGTTGGAGGTTGCTGTGAGCTGTGATGCCAGCACTCTACTGAGGGTGACATAGTGAGATCCTGTCTCAAAAAAAAAAAACAAAAAAAGAATTGCTTCAAGTAGTTTTACACATCAGTTGTATAACTAAGAGGGACATACTTTAAAAACAGAGGTTGGCAAACTTTCCCTGTAGGCTGGTTAGTAAATACAATCAATTTTCATTCATAGATTCTATATTTGTGAATTCACCTACTTGCTTAAATTTATCTGTAAACCCAAAGTCAATATTTGCAGCACTTTTGTGGACATGTGAAAGAAGCAAAATATTTGAAGCCCTAAAGAG